GCTGAATAAGGAAACAGTCGTGTATTCTTTACTGAAATCAAATATGAGAAACCCTACCTCCATAAGGCACTTGACTGCTAACCAGAAGGCTGGTGGCTCAAACCCACCAGCCACTCCTCGGAAGGAAGGTTGGGCAATCTACTTCCGTAGAGATACCACCTCAGAAACCCAAGGAGGGGTCGCTATGAGTTAGGTCCAACTCGACAGCACATACCACCACCCACCACCTCTATAAACTCAGGAAGGAAAACAGCAGTTGTTATTTTATAACTAACAAAAGGCACTGTGGTAGTTAAGTTTGTGTGTCAACTTGGCTGGGCCTGGTTGAGTGGCTGGGCAGCTGGATGTAGTATTTCCCATGATGAGACTGATAATCAACTCCACGGTGGAATCTACTGAGAGCAGCTGAGTAGCTGCCTTAGGGAGGTGGTCTGCTTCCTATACATAAGCAGAAGCCTTGGGGAATGGTCTCTAGTTTATGGCATGCTCGAACCCTGAATGTAGCCATGTCGTTGTTCAGCAGCCTGCCATGCTCTACTGACCTTGGGACTTTTAATGGACTTAAATGAATGGCCTGCCGTGTGGTTTAGTAACATCGGGACTGTGCCTTATTACTTGTCAACCTTGGGCTTGTCAGCCTCAGCAGCCAGCAGCTGTCTGACTGAAGAAATGCCTCTAGCTTCAGTGGGCTGGGAGCAGGAGGCAGAGCTGAAGCCCAAGGCTGAGGGGCTTTCACCCAGCCCCTAGAGCCTGGCACTTTGAACTCAGATAAAGCCTCCAAATTATAAGAGAATAAACTCCTGTTTCTTCAAGCCACCCCATTTGTGGTATATTCCTGTCAGAGTGGCACTAGGGAACCAGAACAGAATATGGTACCGAGAGAGAGGGGTGTTGCTTTGACAGACACCTAAGACATGGAAACAGGAGTGGAGTGTGTCCTTGACCCAAGACCCTGGCAGAGAGACCCTGGCATGCGGCATCAGGAGCAGAGCCGAGAGTCCAGCGTGAGAAAGCCACAGCCTTACCAGCCCATGGAGAAAGCTAGATGCATTGTGCAGGCGGCTTCCTGGCGGAGTGGGCTGCCTTCAGCATTAATCGGCAGAAGCGGAGACCAAGGAAACAGGATGCAGAGCTGCCTCAGCCTCAAGGGTAGGACCAAGGCCTTTGGGGGTGGAACCACCACAGCCCCTAGGTTTCAAAGAGCCAGACCTTCACCATCTCGGTTCTGGAGAGTGGGGCTGCTTGTTCATGTGAGTCAGTGGGACGGAGCCATAGCCGCTACCCAAGAGTGAGGGGGCAGGCCCGCCAGATCAAGGGGATGAGGTCAGGAACTAGGGGACTGGAGACACCCAGTGAAGGAGATCTGTACACGTGCCAAGCTGACAAGGGGAGGAATTGTGGTAGTCTGTCAGCTTGGCTAGGCCTGGTTGAGTGGCTGGGCAGCTGGATGTAGTATTCCCCATGATGAGACTGGTAATCAACTCCATGGTGGAATCTACTGTGAGCAGCTGAGTAGCTGCCTTAGGGATGGGGTAGGCTTCCTGTACATAAGCAGAAGCCTTGGGGAATGGTCTCTAGCTTATGGCATGCCTGAACCCTGCATATAGCTAAGTTGTTCAGCAGCCTGCCATGCTCTGCCATCTTGGGACTTTTAATGGACTTGAATTAATGACCTGTCATGTGGTTTGGTACTATCGGGACTGTGCCTTTTTACTTGTCAACCTTGGGCTTGTCAGCCTCAGCAGCCAGCAGCTGAGTGAAGAAAAGCCTCCAGCTTCAGTGGGCCAGGAGCAGGAGGCAGTGCCAAAGCCCAAGGTGGAGGGGCTTTCACCCAGCCTCTAGAGCCTGGCACTTTGAACTCACTTAAAGCCTCCAAACTCTAAGAGAATAAACTCCTGTTTCTTCAAGCCACCCCATTTGTGGTGTATTCCTTTCAGCGTGGCACTAGGGAACCAGAACAGGCAGTATGGTTAATACGTATGTACTGGCAAAGGCCAGGGCCACATAAATGTGGACAGTCCTCCTCTTCCTGCACCAAATTTTGCCCTTTTTATAACTTTGCCTTATTGCCTGAGAGGAAAAATGTCTTCTCCAACCATGTGTCCCCCTAAGGCTACACGATTACCTGTCACTTAGCTGTTGCTCAATAAATCTTTAGTATCAATTCCCAGTGTTTCTCCAACTGGGATGGATTCCCAGCACTCTCTGAGAACTGTATTACTTACCAGAAGTAAGATAACAAAGTCTACAGGAGGGCTCCAAACTTTCCCTTTTCCTCCCTCTTCTTCCCTTGTCCTGTGGGGGGAAAATTTCACTGCAAAACATTTTCAGTCAAGTCTAAAGAAGAGTAGAAACATTTAAGTAATTTTTACCCTCATAAAGCTCTGGGGTAAAACTTTTCTTTGCCAGAACGTCTCTCGTTTACTCCATGTAACCCTGCCAGTCGGTATAACTATGTTTTCACATGTGTTTATGTCATTAGGGTACCATCTGACCTCTAGTGGCGTTGTTAAGGGACACAGCACACCATGGTTACTCTGCTTTTATATTCCGTGTGTAAACATGTTGACTAGTCAAAAAGCTGCATTTGAAAAGGAAGCCCACCACAGAAGATCGAGTCCAGAAGGGTGAAACTGGGCAACTCCGAAGAAAGCTTCATCTGATACAAGTGCTGAGACCCCTCACTACTGGAATTTTTTCAGGGTTGGTAAATTGACCTGCTCGGAAAAACGTCGCCTAGGTCAGGTCCTATTGTCCATTTCCACTACCTTTGACACTTCTTACGTTCAGTTTCCAAGTCCAATTACCTCACTGGCACTAAAGGGCAACCCTCTCCAAGCCAATGGCCCATGACTAAGTCAAGTGACAGTTTACAAAGTTTCCAGGTCTACCCAAGCTGGGGTCCCTTTGTAGAGCTGCAATTTTTCAGCTTACTATGCTTTGTTTCACTGTGATAAAAACCATGGAACCGAAAATCTCAGTAATATACAGAGAAATTAAGGAACTGCTTTCCTATGGCATATTTTTTGGCATCAGCTCCAATGTGTACACAAGATCACTGTGAGAGATTTGGTCAGGTTTTTCACATATGCAAAGGAACAAACTCATCACATACAAAACTCTCATGAAAATGACACTATGAACACATCACTCTCAAAGCTGCTCTCAAAACACAGAATTCTCAGATGAAATCCAAAAGTTCCCTACCAATAAACTCTGCTTATTTTGATTAGTTCACACCCCAAACCCAAACTCTGCTGTCCAGCGATTCCGATGCACAGGCCCGATGGCACAGAGTAGAAATGCTCCACGGGGGTTCCAAGGCTACAAGTCTCTGCAGAAACTCACTGCCACACTGTTCTCCCCAGGAGCGGCTGGTGGGTTGGAACGGAACATTTGGCCACTGTGCAACCAAAGCGCCTAGTCCACACTAATCTCTAACAACACCACTCAACCTATCACACCTCTCTCAATATTCCCGAGGACAGCAGTGCCAAAGATATTCCTTAAATCACCTGTCCTCCACATTCAAAGGTCTTCCTGAATTGATATTTTTAAAAGAGTACAGCTGTCTGGGAATTTGTATCAGAAACTAAACATCAAAGTAATAAAATGCAACCAACGCATGGACAGACGCACACCTGCTGCTAGTCAACATGCCCAAACCATGGGCAAGGTCATCTCCTGGGGCCAGCGAAATTATCATCCAGTGATGCCTGCACCAAGATACTGAGGTTTGGACCAAGCTGAGTTTTTTAGTCCAGACAAGACTTCAGTGGCAGCATTTGACATTCTGATGTTGAAATTAGCCATGAATGGCACAATACAGACCCCAACTGTGGTAGTTCAGTTTGTGTGTCACCTTGGCTAGGCCTGGCTGAGTGGGTGGGCAGCTGGATACAGTATTCTCCATGAATGCCAATACCAGTTGACTGGTAATCAACTCCATGGTGGAATCTACTGGGAGCAGCTGCCTTTGGGATGTGGTCTGCTTCCTATATACCAGGAGAAGCCTTGGGAATGGTCTCTAGCTTATGGCACGATTGGACCCCGAACGTAGCCATGTCGTTGTTCAGCAGCCTGCCATGCTCTCCTGATCTTGGGACTTTTAATGGACTTGAATGAATGGCCTGCCATGTGGTTCAGTAACATCGGGACTGTGCCTTATTACTTGTCAACCTTGGGCTTGGAAACCTCAGCAGCCAGCAGCTGTCTGACTGAAGAAACGCCTCCAGCTTCAGTGGGCTGGGCGCAGGAGGCAGAGCTGAAGCCCAAGGCTGAGGGGCTTTCACCCAGCCCCTAGAGCCTGGCACTTTGAACTCAGATAAAGCCTCCAAACCATAAGAGAATAAACTCCTGTTTGTTAAGGCTATCCCATTTGTGGTAGATTTCTTGTCAGAGTGGCACGGGGTAACCAGAACACCAAGTTACAGCGAGCATGGAGCAGGTGCCCAAGGCCACAATGAAAACAACAGGCAAATGAATGAAACCCAAACATAGTAGCTTGGACCAATGCGTTCTGGGACAAAGGCTCTGTGTCTGGTGCCCAGTCCAGTGCCTGGCACAAAACAAGAGGTCACTAAACACTGTGGAATCAGTGGACAGCAGGTCCTGTTATTCGGAAGTCCCCAGAGTTCCCTTATATAACTTTATGTGCTTCATGCTATGAGATGGGCACTATCAAATCTCACTAAGCAGATGGGACATTGAAGTTCACAGGAACTGACAGTTCAAGTCGCATCTGAGGTGAGGGACTGCTCGCCTAACCATTCCCTAACCCCAGGACGCTTGAACCCCAGCCATGCCCACCCCAAAACGCACCCCACATACATAACGAGTACACAACGCCCCTACCTCGCACCCCGGTCACGCCAGGCTGTGGGAAGGGGCACAACAGCGACCGCCTGGCTTCCCTCAGGCCTCAGCTAGACACAAACAAACCCCGCAGACCTCCGGGACGAGACACCAGCCCCGCAGCCTCTACGTCCCAAGCCCCTGACCTTTTTGTCCCAGATCTGCAGAGGCTTGCTGCCGATGCTGTAGAGGATGGAGAGGAAGCCGCTCTGGAACGTGTTTTTGAACATCTCCCCGGTGGCCTTCTCAGCCGCGCCGTTGCCGACTTAGGCCCCAGAGTAGATATGGGCACCGAGTGGCGAGGCCAAAGCAGAAAGCCGGCCCTGATCTGCAGAACAGGTGCTGTGCTCTTGCTGCCCGATGGACAGCCACCGACAGTGGGGCTTTAAGGCCGGATACTACGTCCTCGAGGCTCTGGTCTCAAAGAAACCCAAACTCCACAAAACCCAAACCACAGCAACTGCCGCCCGCGCTGCTCTCCACGCCTTAAATGGAGGCGGTGGGCAGAAGCGCCACATAAGTAGATCCCTCCGCCCATTTGATCCCGCCCCCTCGGGAACACGAGGTCCAATCCCACCACAGGGTCATGGACTTCCGCCCTTAAGACCCGCCCTGATTCCGCCCCCTGGTGGAAAGAGTTCTGTAGTCAAGGGACTATTTTTCCCATCATCGTTTTCAGAGCGGCTTTTAGAAGGCGGAAGGGGACAAAGGACAGAGAATTATACAATGTGTTGTTAGTACCTGAGTGGTGTCATGACAACGTGGCGGAGAAGGAGGGGCCTGAAGTCCAGGTCACGCCCTCTGAGGGGTAAGGAAGAGTCTCAATGGGAGGAAAAAAAAGAGATCCAGGAGGTGGCCCTTGGCTACTGCAATTATTATATTCTTATATGCTATCCTGTAATGCCAAATAAGGGGAGTTCTGGTGGCACAATGCCTAAGGTACTTGACTGCTAGCTGAAAGGTTGGCGGTTCAAACCTACTAGCCACTTCTTGCAGGGAGGGTTGGGCAATCGCCTCAGAAACCCTCGGAGGGTTTTTTTTTTTTTTTTTTAAGTGCCAAATAAAGGAGCTTTGGTGAAAGATGAGGTAGTCTGCTTCCATAAAGATTTACAGCTTGGAAACCCTGCGGGGGTTGCTATGGGTCTGAATCAAGTGGATGGCAGCAAGTTTGGTTTAAAAAAAACACTTACTGCCGGGGAGACGTTTTCTGACTCATAGCAACCCCTTCTTCGGTTTCCGAGGTGGTATCTCTACGGAAGTAGATTGCCCGATCTTCCTTCTGAGGAGTGGCTGAGTGGGTTTGAACCACCAGCCTTCTGGTTAGCAGTCAAGTGCACTATGCCAAGAGAGTCTGGTTTAGTACCAAATAAATACTTGTTGGCTGTGCACTGGATGAAGTTAAGCTATGACTAGTATTGTGCTTGGTAAAAAGAGGGTTAGTGAAAAAAGGAAGACCTTTAAGAAGATGAATTGAATAACCAAACTATGGTACATACACACAATGGAATACTATGCAACGCTAAAGAATAATGTAGAATCTGCAAAACACACATAACATGGATGAACTTGGCGGACATTATACTGAATGAAATAAGTCAATCACAAAAGGTCAAATATTGTATTAGTCTGTTATTGTAAAAGTTGAGGAAAGGTTTATCTATAGAAGGAAATTTTCTTTGTTGGTTAGCAGGGGGCGGGGGGAGAGGAAGGGAGGGAACGCTGTTAGATAGGTAGAGATAAGTATTGATTTGAGTGAACAGAAGGGCAATGTACCAAATGTGAGTTACCAGTATGACGACATTGAGGAAGAGAAAGACACAGAGAGGTACATGGGAGGTACAGACAACAAAGATGAACCCTTTTGCACATACGGTACTGCGTTGTCAGTGAAGGCAAACATGGGTATATGGATGGATAGATGAGTGAACAGGCTGAACTATTAGCTATGTCTATGAAACAGGAAGTGTAATCAAGAACATGTATAGGGTTGGCAGACAATGGTCCTATAAGTTTATGTGAATGATCAGAATTCCCAGGTGTATAACAGAACTGACAAGGGCAAGGTTGTGGTCACTGCTTGATCACAGCCAGCTACTCAGAGGGACTGAGTAGTTGAACCTGTGGGCTTGGGACCATAGTTGCAGGGGACATCAAGCTCAATTGGCATAACATGCTATACAAAACATTGTTCCACCTCCTACTTTGGCAAGTAGCGACTGGGATCTTAAAAGCTAGTAAGCTGCCATCTAAATGCAACAATGGGTCTCTCCTCATCCAGAACAAAGAAGAATGAAGAAAACCAAAATTCATGGAAACAATTAGTCCAAGCGACTGGTACACCATCCGATCTGCAGCCTATATGACTATGAGACCAGAAGAACTAGATGGTGCCTGGCTACCACTGTCATCCACTTGGAAGGGGATCTATATAGGAGATCCTGGGTAGAGAGGGAGAACAATGTGGAACAAAACTCAAAATCATTTGGAAAAAAACAAAAGGGACCACCAGGTTTGCTGGTCTGATAGAGCCTGGTGGAATCACTGAGACTATGGCCCCTAGCTGCCCTTCTGGTCTGGAACTGAACCCATACCTGTAGTTTCCAGCCAAACAAAAGACAGGAATATGAGTTAACATTTACCTCAGGTAGATACACTCCTTGGAGAGAACAATCATGGGAGAAAGAAGGGCTATTTATGCACAGGGAGACAGCTCAGGGGGCAGGAGTGTATGGAGGAATGGACACTGGGAAGAGGTAACTGTGGGGAGGAAGGGGGAGAGGAGCTGTTGCATTGTGGTAAACTGTGGTCAATGTCATGAGACAAAGTGTATGTGAACTGCTGTATGAAAGTGAATTTGCTCTGTAAATCTTCACCCAAATCACAATAAAAGAAAATAAAGAAAAGGAGATGGATTGACAGTGCCTACAACAGTGGGTTCAAAAGTAGCAAGAGTTGTGATGATGGCAGGACCTAGCAGTGTTTTGTTCTGTTGTAAGTATGTGCGATATGAGTCCCAACCCACTCCACCACACCTAAAAACAATCACCAGTATTGAGCACTGGTTAAGTGCCTCATATATTGCCATTAACTACTTGACTGCTAACCAGAAGGCTGGTGGTTCAAACCCACAAGCCATTCCTCAGAAGGAAGGTTTGGGCAATCTACTTCTGTAGTGATATTGCCTTGGAAACCCAAGGAGAGGTCGCTATGAGTTGGTCCAATTCAACCGCACATAACAACAACATTACAGTGTTGCTGTGAATACACGACATAGCTTAACTTGTGGGATGCAGTCAAAGCAATACTCTGAGGGAGATTAATCACTTCCATGCATTGATTAGGAAACAAGAAAGCCTGTACATTAAGATAAAAGCAGAAATTAATAATATTAAAATAGACATTAACACCAATAGCTGATTTTAAAAAATTCACTCAAGGAGATGGTGATTCAAATACTATATGAACTTTATCAGTGTGAAAATTTATATGAAATAAATTATTTTCCAGGAAAATAAAAACTACCAATGTTGGGTGAAGAAGTAGAAAGCCAAATAATCAATATAAGAGAATATATAGTCATTGATTCCCTTCATCAAAGGGTTTGCCCTTTGTGGTCCAGTCCACTCAACTCATAGCAACCTGAGAGAGTAGAGCTGCCTCATAGGGTTTCCTAGGCTGAAACTTTTAGGGAAATCGACTGTACCTGTTCCAACCTCCGACCTTTTTTGTTAGCAGCTGTGCTTTAACCACAGTGCCACCAGGGCTCACTGATGCGCTTTAGGAGTGTCTAATTATTTTATGTGAGCTTTTTTTTTTCTCTAAATCATGTAATATAGGTTCATTTAAGAAACTGACAAATACTAAAAGATATTAAAAATACTATTGCAATCTCATAATCCCACCACTAAGAAAAAATTGTACTCTTTTGTGTCTTGTCCATGTTTTTCTTTCTGATTTAATTCTGTTTGACATGTTTAAATGACAAATGTAACAAAAGAAGACACTGATCATTCCTCTTATGCCTTGCCCTCCATGCCCATCCCCTTGAATTACTTACTTAATTAACTAATCCATTCTTCACCAAATGTATGCAAACATATCTGAAAACATATCTGATATCCATGGGCGTTTTGTTTTCTAGAAGAAACACATAGTTGTTTAGATCCATGCAATGAACTAGTGGTATCTCATCCATTGCCTGGAAGTGCTTCACAGTCCTGAGTGATATGCATCCCCTACATTCGACTCATCCACTCCTCCAGCAGTGCACATCCTCTACGTGTCCCTTAAGTTCCTGTGCGAGAGTATCTTTTGCATACATGTCCAGGACCAGAATTGCTGGGCCAGAATATATGCTGTTTTGGTTGCTCTGTGCTGCTGTAACAGAAAATATACCACAAATGGGTGGTCTTAGCAAACAGGGATTTATTCTTTTACAGTTTTGGAGGCTAGAAGTCCAAGAGTGCCATCTCTAGGTGTTGGGTGAAAGCCCCTTGACCTTGGCTTCAGCTCTGGCTCCTACTCCCAGCCCACTGAAGATGCAGGCTTTCTTTAACTCAGGTACCAGCTGGCTGCTGAGGCTGGCAAACCCAAGGTCCACAAGTAAAAAGGCACAGTCCCCAGATTATCAAACCACATGGCAGGCCACTAATTCAAGTCCATTAACAGTCCCAAGACTGGCAGACAACATGGCAGGCTGCCAAACAACCAGTCGGCTACATGCAGGATTCAAGTCTGCCAAAAGTTGCAGACCATTCCCAAAGCTTCTCCTGATATAGTGGAAGCAGACCACATCCCTGAAGCAGCTTCTCAGCTGCTCACGGCAGATTCTACCATGGAACTGCCTGCCAGTCTCATCATGGGAAATAACTACCACCAGCTGCCCAGCCAAGTTGATATACAGCCTTAATTACCAGATGTGCATGTGTTTATTTTGACTAGTGTGGTTCAGGAGTCCTGGTAGTGCAAACAGCTCACTGCTTATCTATTAGTTGAAAAGTTGGCATTCAAACTCATGCAGACGCACCTCAGAAAACAGGCCTGGTAAAAGGCAGGCCTGGTGATCTGCTTTGGAAAGGTCACAGCCTTCAGAACCCTCTGGAGCTGTTCTACTCTGCACATACGGACTGGCCATGAGCCACTTCTGAATCAAGGCAATTAACAAGTGGTGGTTCAGTGGTAGAATTCTTGCCTTCCACTGAGACCCGGTTCAATTCCAGCCAGTGCACCA